CCCACTTTGAATTTCAACAAAAAGGCCATTCCTCCATCGTCCGTGCAACTGTTGGAAGCTTCAAGCTCCAGTGCCGTAAAAACTGTAAGGGCGACTCATGCGAAACGCTCGGTCCGCCCTTGCAACACGTCCAGTGGAGGAGGGGGCGGAACACAGCGTGGAGCCAGACCGCATTCTCCGACAGCAGAGCCTGCGAGCGGCGAGCCTTAGGTCGAGGGGGTCGGCATCCCGCTTGTCAGAAAGCTGACCACCTCTCTCTCAGACGCGGGCAAGTCGACCTGGCCGCTGGCGAAGGTTATGGTGCCTGGCTCCTGTGTGTCAGCCTGCAGGAAGGACAAGGAGGAGAACAAACGTACACCACATATTTATCAGTGATGCTGAAGTGCACCCACCGGCCCCAAGTCCCCTCTTCCTCCTCCTGCTCCTCCTCCTCCTCCTCCTCCTCCTCCTCCTCCTCCTCCTCCTCCTCTCCTCTCCTCCCTCCCTCCCCCTCCCCCTCCCCCCTCCCCCTCCTCCCCCTCCTCCTCCATTCCTTTTCCTTATACATAACTTCTCCCTGTCGCACCCCGAGGCCGGTTTTTAGGGCGGGCCGGGCGTTTCGCCTGAGATTTCCTCACCATTTATGATTCTGAAGCTTAAAGCATGACAGCAATTTCACAGATGGAGTGCGGGTGGTTTTCAAAATGTGGCTCTCGCCTTAGCGCCGCGCACACTCGTTAACACATTGCAAGAATTTCACGGATTGAGGGCGGGTGGTTTTCAAAATGTGGCTCTCGCCTAGCGCCGCGCACATCCGTTTTAAAACATTGCCAGAGTTTCACGGATTGAGGGCTGGTCGTTTTCAAAATGTGGCTCTCGCCTTAGCACCGCGCACATTCGTTTGAAAAGTTTGCAAGAGCTCCACGGATTGAGGGCGTGTGGTTTTCAACATGTGGCTGAGTTTCACGGATTGAAGGCGGTTCCTTTTCAAAATGAGGCTCTCGCTTTGGCGCCGCGCACATGATGTTTTGGAAGGATTCCGAATATGTGGGCGCAACCAGTACGTTGATTCGTGGTGTTGAATTCCCGAAAATGGCGATCTGGCTCGATTCCAGATCGTTAAGATGCAGCTAGACATCCCTAGAACAATGTTTTGGCATGCTTCAAGGTCTTCAACGGTTGTCTTCCAACGCGGCAGTTCCCTCAATGGAAATGAAACGCTGTATTGGCCTATGAAGAGGGAGCTTGGACGAAGGGTTAATTCCAACATCGTTGATGACTCTTGGGTTTGCACTGGTCCTCCTCCTCCTCCTCCTCCCCTCCTCACACGTCCCCGCAAGCTCACCTCTTCACTGCAGAGAAGTGTCGCCTGGACGGACCGGCACAGTGGGGCCTGCCTTTCTCGACAAGGGCCTTTGTTCGCGCGCAATTAGGAACGCGAAAGCCTATCATCAGTCAGCTCAGCGAGGGGTCCAACGATATCCCCCTTTCGAGGAAGGCCACCCGCATCCGTGTAACTGTTGCGCAAGTTGACACTCGTGGTCACGAACTTCGAGGAACCGTCAAACTCCACTCTGACAAAGAGGGCCACTCTGGACCCGTGCAGCGCAACATGTGTCGAAGCTGCGCGTCTTGAAATCGATGGGGCCCCCAGCGAGAGCTCACATTCTGAATGAGCGCAGTCCTCCGCCCTTTGGAATGTTGCGCCAAGAAGCGGACTTGCGCGGCGCCGAGGCGAGAGACACATTCTGAAAACGGCTTGTGCTCTATCCTTTAAGCTGTTGCAGGATTTTGATGCGAGTGTGCGCGGTGCTGAGGCGAGAGCCCGACTTTGACGAGGAACCGCCCGCCAGCCTCGGACCTGTTGCAAACTACTGAGCCGAATGCGCGCGGCGCTTCGGGGAGAGCCCTATTCAGAAAACGCCCCTCCTCAACCATTCAAGCTGTTGCAAACTTTTGAAGACGAACGTGCCGGCGCTGAGGCGATAGCCACATTTTGAACACGCCCACCTCCATCCCTGAATCTGGTGCAAACTTCGAAGACGAGTGTGCGGGGCGCTGAGGCGAGAACCACATTTTGAAAACGCCCCCTTCCATTCCTGAAGCTGTTGCAAACTTTCGAAAACGAATGTGTGCGGCGTTGAGGCGCGAGCCAGGTTTTGAAAACGCCACCCTAAATTGCTGAAGCACTTGCAAACATGACATAATGATGTGCGCGGTGCTGAGATGAAAGCTTCATTCTGAACACGCCTCTTCATTCCTGAATCTGTTGCGAATCTAACAAACGAATGTGCGCGGCATTGCAGCGATAACCATATTTTGAACCTCCTCCCTCCACGCTGGAATCTGTTGCGATGCTTGAAAACGAATGTGCGCGGCGCTGACACGACCGCCACACATTGAACATGTCCTAAAGCACACGGCGCCGAAGCGGAAGCTCAATTTTTGAAAGAAACATCGCCTTCAGTTATAGATAATGAAAACGTCTCAGGCGGAACGCGTGGTTTGCCCTACTGACACGTCGGGGGGTGCGACTGGGAGGCGCTCTTTATGAGGAGAAGGAATGGGGGAGGAGTGCGATGATGATGAGGATGAGGAGGAGGAGGAGGAGGAGGAGGAGGGGAAGAAGGAGGGGGAGGAGGAGGAGGAGGAGGAGGAGGAGGAGGAGGAGGAGGAGGAGGAGGGGAAGGAGGGGGAGGAGGAGGAGGACCAGTGCAAACCCAGGGGTCATCAACGTACCAGACATGCTGTTTTGGAAAGATTCAGGATTCTGCTAGCGCAACAATTGCCTTGATTCTCTGTGTTGAAGTCCTATGAATGGCGTTCCGGCACGATTCAGGATCGTCGAGACGCAGCAGTCAGGCTGATCCGTGGCGTTGGAATCCCGAAAACAATGTTTTGGTATGCTTCAGGGTAGACAGCTCGGTGTCACGTGTGCAAGGAACCGAACTCTATACACCAACGCTTTTTCCGGCCCTGCGCTGAAACTCTCACAAGGGAGCGGATCCTGGTGTATATGGGGTCCTGGTGTATACACTTTTCGTTGTTTCCCTGGGGAAACGGGGAACAAGTATACACCACACCACCCCGACGTCGTCCCCGACTTTTATAAAGTCCTCTGATTGAAAGAGAGCCCGCCACTGGTAATGTATAGTGAAAACGTATAGTAAGGACGCGTGGTAAGGACGCAAGACCCTTGGAGGCCGAAGTTGAAGTATTCTGGGCGGCAGGCGGCCAAACCCCCAGGGAACCTGAGAAACTGGCCAGCGAAAATTGCTAGGGACGGGCCGCAGAGGCTGAGGCAGGCAAGGACCCAAGGGTAGCCTTGAACAAATCGTTTGTCCCTACGATGCGCGTTGACTGTATACGTTCCAGCTTCCGAGCGTGGGCCCCCGAGGGCTCGCGAGCCTCCCGCGGCTCGCCTCTGAGCTGAGCCTCTGCTTCCTCCCCCGGGAGGCGGCCATTCCCCAGAGGCCGAGAGCGGCGATCGGCTGCCGCCTGCACGCCTCCTCGATGCAACAAGTGCGCGGGAGGTCTGGGTCACGTGGTCTGAGCGGCGGCACCGCCTCTGGCTAGAAGGAGAGACAATACCATACACATCAACTTCTGGCGATTCGCGCGGACTTCTTGGATCTGCGCTGGGCCCCCCTCCCTGGAGCGCGGAGAGCGCCAGGGGCGGCGCCGGAGGCGCCGCCGGGGGGGCCCAGCGCGGATCCAAGAACTCCGCGCGGAGCGCCGAAAGTTAATGTTTATGGTGTTTTTTCTTCTTCGAATGGCGGCCCTCGCTAGCCTTCGTCGGCCCTCGGCAGCCTTCGCCACGGGCGAATGGGGGGGCACCGCCGCCGCCGCCGGCGGGGCGAGCTGAGCGGAGGCGCCCCCGAGCGGGGGACGCGCAGCGTCGGCAGAGGCCGTGGCCGAGAAGCCGGCGAGCAGCCCAAGAACGCCGGACCAGCCGGATCGACCAGATCGCGCCGACGGAGTTGGTCTCTCTAGCCTTCGGGCTCGCGGGGGCTCGTTTCGGGGCTCGGGGCCGTCAGCAAGTCGTCCCAGAACGAGGAACGGGGCTGGATGGACACTGGGAGAGCTCCACGGGATCTGGCCTCGAGCGGATTGCGGTCAGGGCCCACGGGGGAGAGGCTCTCCAGCATGATCTCTGGCATGCGCAGGCCAGCCTCGCGCGTGCACAGTCGTGTGCCTGCAGAGGTGGCTCGCGGATGGGCCAAGGCCAGCCTCCCGGAAGCTGGTGATGCGAACGCCAGGCCAGGACCAGGACAAAGAGGTATAGACCTTGCTTGGATGAGGCTCTGAGGAGCATGTCTCTGCGGCAGGTTCGCGTCGTGGCGATCCCAGCGTTGGCTTCTGGCACCAAGTAAACCGTTCAACTTACAGAGATCGGCGTTTCTCGAGCACCAGATCGCTCCCTATTGGCCGATTCTCTGGGCCGGGCCACCAGTGGCGTGCAGTACAGCCTCGAGCGCCGGCGCGGGGGAGAGCTGCGGGGAAGTCGCGGCTCGACCCGCGCGACAGCGCAGCAACTGCAGACGGAGGGCTGCGCCCTCTGTCCACGCCCCCACGGGCCCGACCACGGGCTCGAGAGAGGCCGAGGTCGGGGACGAACGCCAGGCCTGAGCAAGTCTCGTCCGCGCTCCGCAAGGGAGCCCACCCGTGCCCGTCGGGGCTTGGTGTGGAGGCCGTTGCCTCAAAGATGTGATGCACGCGCGGAGTCAGGTGGTAGCCACCAATCGGAACACTCGTTGTTACCGACTTTACTATTGTGAGTTACGCCGCTTCGCTCTGGTGACAAAAGGAGGGAGAAGAAACGAAAGGGACGAATCTGAATGTATGGGGTATTTGCACTTCGCTCAAACTCGTCATCGTAACCAACATCACCCGTGAAACGCAATGGAATGGGGCCCCGAGCCAATACGGAAGCACGGCATCGTGCGAAATCCGGCTCTCCCACACGGTCACACCACAGTGCCAACAGCAGCAACAGCAGCATCGGAGCGCCGCAGGAGGTCCTGGATGCCGATCGCTACCGTGGCGCCGAGGATGAGGTAGATGCCTGCGTGGATCAAGCACGCGCGAGCAGAGCCTGCCAAAACCACGCAGCGGTCCCAACACGCGCTGACCTTGCGCTCCCCATCATCTAAGGGAACAGAAAGCGATACAAACAGAAATTTCGGAGCTCCGCGCGAACTTCTTTGATCGGCGCTGGACCCCCCGGGTGGCGCCTCCTGCGCTGTCCCGAAGGGCCCAGCGCCGATCCAGGAAATCCGCGCGGAGCTCCAACAAGTTATGTTTGTGCATGTTTCCTTATCCAGTCATCGTCATCCACCTCTATCTCCCCGCTAGCTTCGCGGAAACCTCGGTATTGCCCGCCCCCGCGTGCCAACGAGACTTTGCTCAAAACTGTGCCTCAGGCAGACCGTTTTTTGTTGTTGTTATTGTTGTTATTCTGGTTGTTGTTGTTGTTGTTGTTGTTGTTGTTGTTGCTTTTGGGTGTGTTTTTACATGCTATATATAAAACAATAGTTTCCTCTGGGGAGCCCCTGATCTGGAATAACAAGTCTCGATGAAAGAAGCGGGCTGGCCATGACTAAAAAATTGCGGGGTCTAATCTTCGCCGATCTTGGTCATGCGATCCACGAACTGAGGCTGCCCACGACGGACGGTGATCGAACTCGGCACCGACGCTTCAGCGTTCATTCGTATCGTAGTCATTGCCTTTTTTTTGTTGTTTGTTTTTTTGTTTTTTTTTCTTTTTCTTTTTCTTTTTTCTTCCAGAAGATCCGCCGGGCGTCGAATGCGCGAGAGCGGGAGCTCCACTGGCGCCGAATAGTGGGGTTGCGATAAATGGGAACGAGGGTGCCGGTGCACCTTTTGTGCCCTGAAAGGGGCCCCCTCTGGGGCCCAAAGGGGGCGCGTCCCCTCTCTTGCACATTTATCGCCTCCCGAAGAATCCACGCCCAAGCTCCGCGATCTGTGCAGCAGGCGCGCCCCTCGCAGCTTGTGCCCAGAGAGGGGCGACGAACAGAAAAAATGCCGCCCGGCGCGTGCCCCCCGCGGCGCGCGCGGGCCTCGGCCCCCTCTCTCTGGGGACCCCGCTCACTACAGCAAGGCTCGAAGAAAGGAGGAGGACCCGAACAGCACGCACGGCACCGCGCTGAAGAGCTGGTGGTCCTCCACCTGCGGCTGTGGCCCAAGTTTGGAAGACAATTGAGCATCGCCACGATGTGCAGCTGGGGGTCCTCCACCTGCGATTCTTGCCAAGAGTTAGGAGGAGGATTGGCCATCGCCATGATGTGCAGCTGGGGGGCCTCTACCTTCGGTTTCTGCCAGAGTTGGGGGAGGAGCATTGGCCATCGCCGCGACGTGCAGCAGGGGGGTCCTCCACCTCGGGCCGATGCCAGAGTTAGGAGAAGCATTGGCCATCGCCACGGTGTACAGCTGGGGCCAGGAGTTCGGAAAGAATTGGCCATCGCCAAAATGTGGAGCTGGGGGTCCCCCACCTTCGGTTTTTGCCAAGGGTTAGGATGAGACTTGGCCATCGCCACGATGTGCAGCTGGGAGTCCTCCACCTGCGATTCTGGCCAAGAGTCAGGAGGATAATTGGCCATCGCCACGATGTGCAGCTGGGGGGTCCTCCACCTTCGGTTCCGACTTGAGGGAGGAGCATTGGCCATCGCCGCGATGTGCAGCTGGGGGGTCCTCCACCTCGGGTTGATGCCAGGGTTAGGAAGAGTATGTGCCGTCGCGACGATGTGCAGCTGGGCCAGGAATTTGGCCATCGTCAAAATGTGCAGCTGGGTGTCCCCGAGGTCCCCCCCCTTTCGGTTCCTGCCGAAGTTACGAGGAGAAATTGCCATCGCCATGATGTGCAACTGGGGATCCTCCACCTTCGGTTCTTGCCGCGAGTTAGGAGGAGGACTGGCCATCGCCACGATGTACGGCTAGGGGTCCTATACCTTCGGTTCCTGCCAGACTTGAGGGAGGAGCATTGGCCATCGCCGCGATGCGCAGCTGGGGGGTCCTCCACCTCGAGTCGATGCCAGAGCTAGTAGAAGCATTGGCCATCGCCACGATGTACAGCCGGGGCCAGGAGTTCGGAGGACAATTGGCCATCGCCAGAATGTGCAGCTGGGAGTCCCCCCGCCTACAGTTCTTGCCAGAGTCAAGAGGAGAACTGGCCATCGCCATGATTTGCAGCTGGGGGTCCTCCACCTTCGGTTCGCGGCAAGAATTAGGAGGATAATTGGCCATCGCCACGATGTGCAACTGGGGGTCCTCCACGTTCGGCTCTTGCCAGAGCTTGGAAAATGCTTGGCCATCGATGCGATGAACACCTGGGGCTCCTCCACCTCCAGGATGAAAATTGGCTGTCGCCACGATGTGCAACTGGGGGTCCCCCACCTTCGGTTCTTGCCAGGAATTAGGAGCAACATTGGCCATCGCTGGGTGCCCCTCACCTTCCGTTATCGCAAAGAGTTCGGGGGAACATTGAGCATCACCGCGATGTGCGGCTGGGGGTCCCCCACCTTCGGTTCTGGCCTGATTAGCGGTCACGTCGCCACGTTTAGCGTGCACGACCCCCCCTTGAGAGACAAGTAGTTACTCGATTGCCGTGCGCGCTATGCGCCAGCTCCCCTGGTCAAGACCGCCTTGGACAAATATCAAGCCGTACGTGCCCGCTATGCGTTGTCCATGTCTCAAAGTGGACCTGCGCGCTAAACGTTGTTTTGCGTTCGCGATCTGCGGCGCGCTGCACGGACCGTCATGCTTCGCGCGAAAAAAATACTATTCGGCTCACC